TTTTTTGTTGACCGGAAAATGTTTTCCATTGATCAAATTTTCTAATGATAAACAAACACAGAAAAGTTTAGAAAGTAATTTTTCAAAAATTATTTTCTGAAAAATAAACATGGCCTAAAGATCCTACTCTATTATTTGTTTTTTTTTATTTACTTTCTATCTGAATCCTTACAAGACGACGGTGGATACAGCAGCCGGGGGATATGTATTAAACTACTATATCTGGGTTGAAGCTCTCTCGCCCATATCTACAAGAACATAACTCCCTTTCACTCTTTTTGTAGACTATGAAACAGATCAATAGATTCAATTATAACTGGAAGTGGCACCCAACCAGTTGTGTTCCTGTCTATAGTTTACCTTTTTTTTCCTTTTTTTTCTTTTTTGAATTAAAATTAAAGTTAATCAAAAGAGCATATCCCAGAAGGGGGTATGAGTTCCTTCACCTCTGCTGTAGCACCTTTCTTTTGTTCTCCCCTGCAATTACTGCTGCGGTCTTCTTCTTTTTGATAAAGCTGTTGCAGTCATTTTAAGATCTCCTAATGGGAGCATTTTCTTGAGCATGTTGGTTCAATTAATCGGTCCTCTTCATCTTGTGTGTGTATACCTTGTGTGTATCGTGTCAGTATTGAGATATTTATATATTATATTTAATTACAAAAGTATCTATTAAATATTCTACATAAATATCTATATAATTCAAATATATAGCTCGAGTTTTGGGTTGATTTTGATAATTTAATATCTATATCTTATTTATTATCTATAAAATAAAATAATTATTATAAAAAAATCGTTCATTCAAATTGGTTGATATTTATTGAATTCAAATTAAATTTTCATCTCTATCCATATACATATGCTATATTATTAATAAGATTCCAAGTTAAAATCTAACACAAAAAAAAGGTGTTGATGTTATAAATATGTTTTATGGTATTATTAAATTTATTAACCCAATAATATAAAAATGACATTTATTCTTAGCATAATGAATTAAAAATATATGAATTAATAAATTATAAATAAAAAAATTATGAATGTTAATTACAGACTAAAATAAAAGTTAATCTTTCTAATAAGAAACAAAAGATAAATGTAGATGTAACCTTAGCTATCCTTTTTATTTTATACATTTCAATCTATTTATTTAAGAGCTTTATTCTCATTGATATGTACATATGAATTTTATTTTTATAAATATATCATATAAATACAACTAATCTATAAAAAAAAAACTTGTCAAAAAAATAAAAATAAATTACAATAATTTTTAAAAAAAATGTAAAATTACATAAACATCCAAAATATTAATTGCAATCTTAAAAATAGTTAAAGTACACATTTAAAAAATAAAATAGAGAATATTAATTAAAATTAATTAAATTTACAATAAAAATCAGGCGTTGTTTGGCTTTAAAAGCTATGAGCTGCTGGGAAAATCCTCAGGCATGCTTGGGGTCCCATGCTATTTTTCAAAAAAAAAGAAGCAAATGGTAAGTCATCTGGTCGTGTTTTTTTTTTTTTTTAATATATCTAAGGTGACGTCTGGTCCGCTAGAACATTTTCTAGTAATTTTGATTGTCAGAGAGATGGGGTACGAGTTTTCGTACTCAAAAACTTAAATTTTAATTTGTTTTATAATAAAAGGACATTTTAAAAATCTAAATAAATATATTTTTAGCTTCAAAATACCTTCTAATTAATCTAAAAATAAAAAAATAAACTATTAAAATCTTTTTACTATCCCCTATTTACTTTTTTTTAATTATAATTAAAGGTAAAACTATCTTCATTAAACATCTTTTTTAAGACAAATCTATTAACACAAGATCAAATGTCTTATGACTAGAAAGTGATCAGTCAAACCTTTTCCCTTTCTGTCTACTCTCCCCCTCCCCCAACTTTCTCTTCTTTTTATCAGTTTTCAAGTAAACATGATAAAAAAATAGTTTTAAATCAAAACATAATTTTATTTATTTATTTAGGATTCATATATTTTTTAATTCATTATATATTATTTTTTCATTCATTAATTAATATATTTTAAGAAAACAAAAAACACATTCATAACACTAACTCTTTCTTCTCTTACATTAAAAATCAAATTTAAAATCTTACACGCAAGATAATGTGGATACAATATCATAAAATAAAATAAAAACATGTTGTATCACTTCATTTTTCTTTCGAGATACAGACCCTGTAAGATAAGGTGCTGGCCTCGAAATCCGCTTGCACCCAGGCGTGCATTTCTAAACTCCAGCTCTAGCCGATAAGTACGAGAACGATTAACTTGACACGTCGTATAAAATCCACAGTCCTCATGTTTCAGAATTCTCTGACTTGATAGGACATGATCATCTGCAAATGCCATTCCGAGCCCCTTTCCAGTTTAGAGTGGTAAACCAGAAAAATTGAGAGCCGACACAATGGGCAAAGAAAATGAGACATCAGAGACACCAGGTAAGTTCAAGCTAGTCGGTTTCTCCAACTTTGTTAGAACCAACTCACGGTCCGACCTTTTCAAAGTGAACCGTTTCCACCACGTTGTATTCTGGTGCTCGGACGCAACAAACACGGCACGCCGTTTCTCTTGGGGACTCGGCACACACACGCCTCTTACCTCCTTCGCTCCGGCCACCTAGACTTTCCCTTCACTGCCCCGTATTCTCCCTCTATAGCTTCGATGGACGTCAACCTCTCCCACACCGCTACCGCCTCCATCCCCACCTTCAACCACGAAACCTGCCGCAACTTCTCCGCCAAACACGGCCTCGCAGTCCGCGCCATCGCCATCGAAGTTGACGACGCCGAGCTAGCCTTCACCACCAGCGTGGCACACGGCGCCAAGCCCTTCAGCCTCTCCAATCCTCCTTGATAATGGTGCCGTTATCACCGAGGTTCACCTCTACGGGGACGTCGTTTTAAGATACGTAAGCTACAGAAATTCTGAAAACGACGATTCTAGCCCTGACAATTGGTTTTTGCCTAAATTCGAGGCAGTGTCATCGTTTCCTTTGGATTACGGGATCAGGAGATTAGACCATGCGGTTGGAAACGTTAAGGAGTTCACTGGTTTTCATGAGTTTGCGGAGTTCACGGCGGAGGATGTTGGGACTAGCGAGAGTGGGTTGAATGCGGTTGTTTTGGCAAATAACGAAGAGACAGTACTGTTGCCAATAAACGAGCCGGTTTTGGGGACTAAAAGGAAGAGTCAGATACAGACTTATTTGGAGCACAATGAAGGGGCTGGAGTGCAACATTTGGCGCTTGTGAGTGAGGATATTTTCAGGACATTGAGGGAGATGAGGAAGTGCAGTGCAGTTGGGGGATTTGAGTTTATGCCTTCGCCACCGCCCACTTATTATAAGAACTTGAAGAGTAGAGCTGGGGATGTATTGAGCGATGAGCAGATTAAGGAGTGTGAGGAATTGGGGATTTTGGTTGATCGAGATGATCAAGGGTCTTTGCTTCAGATTTTCACCAAGCCTGTTGGTGATAGGTATTTCCAAAACTTCTTTGATAGAGCGAATTTATTATTGCTTTATAGGATGGATAGTTTTGAGTTCATTTATTTTATCTTATGAAGTTTTCTTTGATCTTATGGGATCGCTAATTGTTTCCTTTAAAAAAAAAGTGCTGGAAACTTAATGTTAATGGGGCATCTTTAAAATAAGTTTTGGATCATGAACAAGGTTTAGTTAGGCCTCTGGCTAGGAAAATCCGAGGGGATTTATATATTTAGTTGTGGTTTTGGCAGGCCAACAATCTTTATAGAGATAATTCAGAGAGTGGGGTGCATGCTCAAGGATGAGAAGGGAAGGGAATACCAGAAGAGTGGATGTGGAGGATTCGGGAAAGGAAATTTTTCAGAGCTCTTTAAGTCGATTGAGGAATATGAGAAGAAACTTGAAGCCTAAAGAATTTCAGAAACAACTTCAGCATGAGAACTTGAGAAGCTTCCTCTCTTGGCTGGTCTTTCTGGAAAACATGCTTTTTAATGCTCAACAAGTTTGTTGAACCATCCATTCACAACGTAAATTGTTGATATATCAGTGAACTGCGGTAATAACTCAGGATCCATGCTGTAAGTTACTGCATGCTAAATAGAATTCTGAACTTCAAATTTTACATCGCAGTTGTTATTTATTTATTTATTTATTTATCCCTGAAGCATGTGGAGCAATTGGCCTTATAGTTGGAAATTGGAATATCTAGGCTAAATGTGGTCGTGGATTGCATAAATATCAGACAACCTCTGTCTAGTGTTTCTCCTAAAGTCATTCCCTTGAAAAGCTCTGTTGGGTCACATTATCTTTAATCCCAAGTAAGAAAACAAATTTTAAAGCAAAACATTCATCGGCTTTGCTTCTTTTTGCAATGAAATTATGACGGAGATGAACTGCATGGAAAACTTCTTCCTCTTTAGGCTGAAACAGAATTTGGTGTTTTTCATAGATATGGGAGCGCACTTAGATCATTATTCCGATGAATTCATAAGGATTGGTTTTCTGTTGTTTAGAATGGATGAATTCCTAAAGCTCGAGGCTCTATTTGGGAAAATTATGCTTTCTATGTTATAATTATGCTTTCACTTACTTCTGCCATTTTTCAGTGATCTTGTGTTATAAAGTTGGCAACTGAAGCCAGATTGGTTAGGTTATCCTTTAACCGTGAAAGTGAGACAAATCACGCATGACAATCTTTGCAGATGTTGCTTATGGAAAATGAACTTGATAATGTTCTGTAAGCTATTGAATTATGTAATTAAAACATAAATTGTTGAAAGATATCAGTAGCGGTTCTTTCAACTCAGAGTCAGGCCATATTTCGAACTACAAATTTTATCCTGCAGTTTTTAGTTTCAAGCCAGAAGTTGTTTTTAACCACAACCACTCTACTTATTTCTAGACTAAGTTTTCTGAGAAGCCATTCCTTGAATTTGAAAATTTTGGATAGCAATAGCTTATATATACAATAGTTCAAGTTATTAAAATACATCTCAAAATATAATTTATATTATTTTTTAATATATTTCTGAAGTTAAAACCTTTTGAATTTGAAACTTATATAAATTTACATTATTTTATACTTAATTTTTATCAAAATTTTAAATCATGACTGCTTAGTCATCAAGATTCTGATATCATGTTAAAAAAATATTTCAATCCAATAATTTAAATTATTAGATGAAGTTTCAAGAAATTTTAAATCATGACTGTTTGATCATCAAAATTCCAATATCATGTTAAACAAATATTTCAATCTAATAGTTTAAATTATTAGATGAAGTTTCAAAATATAATCTATATTATTCTTTAATATTATTATCTTTTTAGAATGAATATTAATAAGGATGAGAATTATTCTGAATTTAATGTATCTGAACTCAAATGGATGGAGTTTTCTTAAATAGTTATTTTATCTAGGGTATTGGATATAGTGTATAAATTTTGCTAATATATATATCATGTATTAAAATATTTACATTTTTTGTAATTCAATATAATATATACACATCTTAAAATACACATGCATACCATCTAGGCTACAAATATCTAATTTCGTAAATCCAGACCAACAGTCATTGCTCTCTCTAAACACCACGGTCCATACATGTACCACCACCGTAGTATTCATTCAACACCCATGAATATAGCTACCTTCCTTTTTCTCCGAAATTCAACCAGACAACCACCAACAATCACACTGCAACTCAAAGAAATTTTGACTTAAGATCCTTGAATAAATAAGCCGAAATTATTTGATTTGTTCTGTCAGTGAGATGAAAGGCGTCCCAAATGACATATTTGGCGGCATCTGTGCATGTAAGTGGATGTTCTCGAGCACACATAATTCCCATCTCAAATGTTCCTGGGCCACAACATCCTACTTCAGCATTCTCAAATCCTGCAATGAAAACACAGCATTATTTGACTCTGAACAGATTAGAGTTCCACCGGATGAGGAGGAGGAGGACGGGAAGAAAATCTCAATTACAAATCACATTGTTTTGTTTTTGTCTGATGTGACAGTTAGTAGTTAACTGATCTACTCCTTAAATCAGTTGAGGGACCAGCTCTTTTTGGTTAGTTTAATGTCGTCAATAGCAGTGGCAGAGAATAGCAGATGCTGACTAACCAACAAAAAAATAATCAAACTTGCCATACAGTGAGGATGCTGTGATGAGTTGCAACAGTAAGTCCTGTGGATTTGAAAACAACACTTTCATTCCAGGAAGTTCATCGTTCAGTTTTGGCACCAATTGATTCAATTTTCCATTAAATTCCAAAGCAAGATCGTTGTATTCCTTCACACAGATGTTAGGATGCATAAAATTTGTAGCTCTCTCCATTGGCAAACACCCCATTGGAGAAAGCCCTGTAAGGGATAATTTCCGAGCTCCAAGAGCATAAAGTTACATTATATCCGTTCTTAATAACCTTATATGTTACTTTTTATCGCTTCTTAATACGATGGTTAAGATAAACTTAAGTTGTATACAGATATTATTTTTAAAAGATATTTTTTTAATGCAAGGTTATTTTTTTAGAATTTAACAAGTTTTTTTTTTAAACAAGAGTTATAAAAATAAATAGACCATGATTGAAAATAAATATCAGCAAGCTTTGCAAACACTTTACAAACACATGAAAATACTAAGTTTTGCAAATGCAAAAAAATACTATATTTTTCAGCACACCTTAATTGTAAAAAATATATAGTATATATGAACAGCTAGCATGTAACAGCTAGGTAGAAAATAAATTAAAAAATTATTACAATAATTTAAAATATAAAAAAGTTGGAATTCCAAGTATTTTAAAAATTATGGTTTCAATTTAAAAGCCAAAAACAAATTATTATTAAGGACAAAAGGTTTGAAAAGTATAAGTATTGCCTTACACATAGGCTAATTAGAGGTTTTCCTCTTACTCAGCTTAGTTCAATATACGTGAGCCAACAATCTTTTCCTTGTTAGTTATTATTTTATATTAAAATTTATTATATAAATATTAAAAAAATTATTTTTTTTAACGTAAAATAAAGAGTTCTATATATACTTTATGTTTACATGAAATAAATTATATTTTTTAATATAAAATTAATTTTTTTAAATAGTCTTTTATTATTTACAACAAAAAGTCTGATAAAGCTTATATTTTAAAGTATTTTTTATTTGAAAATATATTAAAATATTTTTTATATTTTAAAATCAACATAAAAAATAATCTAAAAATATAAAAAAAACATTAATTTAAGAAAAATATTCGAATTTTAATAAATTAGTGTTTTGACCAGAGTGAAACACCCCTGGACCTCACTGGCCTCGTTGAGACACTTACGATTTCATGCAGGGTTATGAAGACGTCAGCTCCCCATGTGGGCGCTCGCTTCCTACTAATTTGCTTGTAATATAAATACCACTGCCAGTTTTTTTATAAAAAAAAAAGTTGATGAATCTATAAATTACCAAAAAAATAAATTTTCCAGTGTTCTTGACGAGAGGTGCCACTGGCATGTGAACGAGAACGACAGCACAAGGAGGTCTCCCATCATAAGTCCTCCAACATACGTCAACACGCCACAAATTCTTGTTTGTAGCCATGGGATATTCACGAATCTTACATCGTTTTTTTTAATGTTCATAGGATAGTATTAAACAAACAAATTTTATGATGCCACCGCCTACCAGTATCTTTAAAACCATATTGAATTTAATTTTATACGTGATTTTGATATAATTACTAATTTATTATAATTTTTATATTTAAAATAAAATATTAAATTATATAATTCAATTCAATTATACTATTTGAAATAATATATATTATAATAAATTGAATTAGCAATTTTGGTTATTTTGCTTGTAATTCAACAATCAAATATAACAAGCAAGAAATCACAAGATCTGAGCATTAAATTGAAGAAAAGAAAAATCAGACCTATAAAATTTAACTCAAATTAAAGAAAGGTAAAATCAGATCTATAAAACTTGTTAATTATCCTCTAACTTGATTTCTTGATTTACTGATTTGTCCTACCTATTTCGGGTACTATATATTTGCCTCGAATTCTGAGTAGATAGTAGTGAGTGCCTGAATTGGGAACTCGAGAAACCATTAACAAGATGACGATTCAGACATTAATTATACCATGTTCTATCTGGGACTCTTCTCTAAATGGAATCCTTGTCTGTACAATTGTCGTTTAAAATGGCTGATTTTAATCCTTTTTTGTAATCTTTATTTACTATGATATTGTGCTAATATTGTTATAGCTTCACTTATCTATATAAATCTGGTTTATTTTTTACGGAAAAAAAAATATATTATTTCGCCCTTTATCACTGAATATTTCAACAAGGACAAAATAGTACATTCCTTTTCTACATGCATAATTTACAGAAAAAGAATACTACATGACATATAAAATGCTCTCAACTCTAGCAGGGCTCATGTAGTACCTCTGTGGAGAAATCAACAACATTACAAGGAACATGTGATTCCTGGCTTTTGAAGTCATCACCTAAGAACTCCAGATTAGTTTTCGTTAAAATACAAATCAGGAAAAACCATGCAAAACCAAGTCGTATATAGAAGATAATCTTTAAGCATGAGGAGCAGAGAATATACATATTAAGGACATACCTCGATCCATGGAAAATCCATTACGGCTCAATCCCTGAACTAGAATAGAACACAAGAATACTATGATAGCAGTACAAATCAAAAAGATCAAATGAACTATCAAAAAACCATTGCTTACATTATTAACAATAGCAATAAAGATCACATGGATCAAGGAATTCAAAAAAAAAAAAAACCATTGCTTACATTATTAACGTATGTTGGATGTTTGTTAAGCAATGATGGTTGTTGTAACAACGAAAGATTATGGTGTATGGTGGAGTGAGATGGTGATTGAAGAAGATATAGAGTTATGCGGACTAGTAGTTGCCAAAAATTAGGGAGAAACATAATCTTAAATAATTCATTGAAAAGAAAATTATCTAAACTCATAAACCCTCGAAAAGGTGAATCAAAATCCTATACCATAAGCAAACAATATAATCATAACCTAGGGGGAAAAAAACCTTGAACGTACAAAAGAAAACATAAATATTTAACGCAACCAAAGAAGAAACATACCAAGAAAAGAGCTGCAAGAAAGAGCATAGACTAGAGAGTTGCAGGCAGGAGAGATCAAGAGAGTAGATGAGTAGAGGTGGGAGTAGGGGGCTAAGGGGGCATGCGACTGCATCAGTGAGGTATTGGTTTATATTTTGAAAAAAAAATCATTTTATATTTAGTTTAGCTTTTATAGTCTATTTGGTTTTGGTAATGTTATTAAATCCAGGTAGAAAGGTAAATTTTAAAATTCCTTGACCTAGTTCCTTGCCTAGCACGATGATGAAGTGTAAAATTCAGATAAATTTATGCAACGTGCCTATTCAAATAGCTCCATTCTTTAATATTTAAAAAAACTCTCTTAAAAGAATGTCGAGAATGTCTTTGGGTACCTTTTTCGGAATATTTGAATACATTTTGATATTAAAGTTAATAAATTTATAAAAAAGAAGAAGAAGAATAAATATGCTTAAATAACTTTTATGTTATGAAATTAGGGTATTCTTATATTGATATCTTTTTAATGTAAAAACACTTAAACCTCTTACCTCATAATTCAAAAAGTATTTAATTCTTTTTTTGTTCTAAGATAAAGAGGTTGAAGGATAGTTTTATCATGATAATATTTTTAAAGGATAAACATCTCTAATATAAACATTAATGAGTATAAATGGAGAAAGATATCTTTTATATAAGTATTAATAGGAGATAAATATTTCTTATACAAGTATTAAAAAACATTAGTGAGAAATAATATCTTTTACACAAGTATTAATAGAAAGTATTTCTTATACAATTATTAAAAAGAAAAGAAAAAAAAAGATATAGGGTATGTTTTTAGACTTAAAAATGAGACTGAGACTAAGATCTGTCCTTTAAGGTTGGGCTCGAGCTCATAACAATTATTAAAAAGAAAAGAAAAAAAAAAGATATAGGGTATGTCTTTAAACTTAAAAATGAGATTGAAACTAAGATCTGTCCTTTAAGGTTGGGCTCAAGCTCACACCCAAGCCCACCACACCTAAACTTGAGGTTTGGTGATTTTATTTATGATTTGATAAATATGAATTTATATTTTTTATTAATTTATAATTTTTATTTTGATAATAATTATGTTAATAAGAATAATATAAATAATTGTAATAATGACAATAATGATGTCCTCATTAATAAAGTAGAGGTATCATAGCAAAGAGAACATAAAAGTTGTTTGGCAAAAAACAAATTATTGATTTAAATTGTATTGATTATTTTAATTACAAAATTACTACTATCACAAATTTAGATTTGTTCTGGTGTATTTTTAAGATTATTTAAAAAATTATAAATAGTTTAGAGAAGCAAAAGAAGATTTTATAATAAAAATTCGAATAAAAATATGTGTAATAATGCTACTAGATAGAATTATATATTCTTGTATTTATTATTTTTCTTATATTGTTTCCATTTACTTTCACATTCCAATATCTAATTGAATAGACTTTAAAAACAAAAATCAAATTCCATCTCTCATCAATATATAATTTGAATGGCCTCCAGGAAGCGGAAGCACTCCCTCTACAGGCTATATAGAAAGTCAAGGAGAGCCCGCCAGGAGCTAGAGCATGGCAAAAATGAAAGCTTCCCATCTCTTCGGCTGCCTGCGTGAGATTAGCCGAGGGAAGAAGAAACTCAACCGACAATTTAGTAGGAAAAGAGATACTAGCAAAGCTAATCAAGCATCCCTCCATTGTTCAATTGCTCGAAATATCAGCTCAAGAACACAGGCAAGATGGATGGATTTACTGAAGATTAATTCCATGTGATACCAATTGCTTTAAAAAGATGCTCCAGCTCATATCCAAGGTAGAGCATGCTTCCTTAATTTGGATCTCCATAAGATGGTGTTGTCGTTTTCTTCTTTTCTCTGTGTTTTTTTTCCCAAACCGGCAAAAATGGTCTTAAATGGTGGTGCAGTTATTGCATTAGTTATGTATTAAAATAATAATTTAAAAAAAAACTATTTTTAATATTAGGTTATTAAAATAATTTAAAACTATAAAAAAATATTAATTTAAAACATTAAAATTATTTAAAATTTTTAAATTATTTTTAAATATAAAAACAAACAGGATATAAAATTTTCCCGCGATACTGAAACAACTTCAAAGATGATCTCACCATTGCTGTAGGTAGATTAGAAATCATCAATTTAGCATAGATTTTGCCTTTTGCAATGATATATCTGGCCATAGATTTTGTTGAAAGACTTTTGTTTTTTTTGGACGCAGGGTTATTACAATC